GATGAATTCTTCATATTTTCTTTGACTCTTTTATCCATACGGGTAGCCGAGAGACAGTAACCAAAATCGACACACGAAAATGCACGGTTAATCGTTGTAAAAAGTGAAGCTAAAAGTTTAATGTGTTTTTTCAAATTTACGTATAAACGTATCTCGCACGATACACCGATCACCTTTCAATCGGTTCCAGACACTTTGCAACGCACACCCCGATGAATATGTCTCAGCCTGAAACTACCCGAGCTTTGCGGTTATCCCGACCCTTCACGCTAATGACGAGATGTAATTGCATATGAACAACACCGATAGTGTCTGTACAATTACGGAAAATGGTTTGGATAGCTAAGAGTTGAGTCTTTGGCCAAAATTTGGCTTTTATTGGACTACCACTCACCCGGTACTGATCTGACGTGGGCATTGTCTAACGAAGATGTGAAAATGGTGAACGAGTTTTCAAAAAAGTGCATGAGATGGCTGACTTAAACAAATTGGTGTGACAAACTTTTTAACAAATTTATATGATAACAGTTCTGCAGTATTGTGCCTTCATCGCAGCCTCTGTTATGAAGACAATTACACCAAGACTGACACATGAAAGGTCTTAGCGCCAAGGAATTTGTGGAACAATGCCCTGCTTCCTCACGATGTGAATCAGAACGGGATCTTTATCAGCATCAGTTTCACCTCTGTTCGCTATTCTTGAGCAGCTGCTATTCTAGGTATCTACGAACGCTCAAGCTACGGAGCAAGTTAGTCACTTGAAAGTAAAATTCATGGGTTTTACCCCTTTCAGTCGCATTTAAAGCGATAAAAAAATGATATGAGAGGGAACCAGGAATATAAAATGTAACCAACTATATCTTAATTACTAAGGGTCATCACTAGTTACTCTTTTCAATGACTTGCAAAGAACTACTAAAGAGACGGAAATCCAGAATGATATGGCGGAAATCGGCTTATAACATATTACGCATATTTACGCACAAACTACACCTTTCCGCATCAATCTTTAGCCAAACCCGCAGTCCTTCAGCCTCGACCATAATCCTTTAGCCAAAACTCGCAATGATTCGGCTCCGACTCAATGCTTTAGCATTGACCCACATTCCTTTACCCAAAACCGCCGTTCTTTAGTCTAACGCACAAAATTTACTCATGCCGCCGAAGGCCAGTCAGACCAAAAGATATTCGAATTTCCTGAGGGTAGCGAATGTTGAAACATTTCATTTTCTACAAATTCTGATGTTGAAAAGCATAGTTAAGAAATGAGAAAGTGTGACAATCGTGTACTACATCACAGATTGATTGGAGAAGGTTTGAACGATGCACCCATATTGTCAAACCGTTTGGCAAATCTCGCTTTGTTTCGGTGTTTCTATATAAAATGCACTAATTCTGTAAGTGAAAATGTCAAATGTAACACAAACGGTATATTCTTTTACATTCACAAGTCCTGAACTAAGTTAAAAATGACAATAAAACGAAAATGAATGCTTCGATGCCGTGTCACCACTTAAATTGAACTCTGCTTTTGAGAGGTTAATCCATTAACTGTCCGATGATAATAAGCACCGGTCCCAAATAACATCCCGTTAGTGCACTTTATCCCATCAAACTTTATTAAAAGTCCGCGCTTCTTGAGCATGGATCGTT